TTAGGATTAACATTGATGACCACAACTTAATTAATCATGTAATTAAAAATTCACTATTTATGGTTGCCTTGCAGTGTACATTTCAAAAATGGTTTCCTTGTTACCAAGATCAATAAACAAATACTAATTTATTTTTAACATAGTTCAAAAGCCAACCTATATTTTTTAGTGACTGCTTCTCAGAAAAAATAAACTAAATAATTTTTTTTCCCTGTAAGTCAAAGAATCCTTGTTTTATGACTATACAACTGATTGTAAATAATTATTTGTACACGGAAGAATAATTATCATATAAAATCTATCCTGTCCAGATGCAGGTAAGGTCCATTTAGTGCATGGCTTGGATGATCTTTTTTCGACCTTGCTGGTAAAATTACCCAATACTAGATGTTATTGATTAATGGCTCCAGAGGATTTATATCAGTGTACTAAAAGTTATGGGAATTATGAGGAGTGACTTTGTTTTGTTAGTTGCTAATATACTACCGACAGGTGGCAAGGCTATTCTGTTACGTTGTTTGGGTGAACAGTCACATGCCCGCACATATTTATGAATTGTGATTTATACTGTATCATTGGGACCAAGGCTATTTTTCAGTTGTATTTTGTTCAAACTTAGTAAATTTACCTAAATTTAAGTGTCAGTGACAAGAATATGATTTATTTCTATATTTAATTACCTCCCAAATAATTCAAACAGAAAGCCAAGTATTCCCATAATATTGTCTCTTTGCTATATGTTGGTGATGAAATATATCTTACAAGAATTGAGTCTAGGATTAACAATTTCATTTACAGAAGGCTTTACTTCAAATAAAAAAAATCAATGAATTGAAATGATATTCTGACTTGTATATCCTGACAGTGTGACTGTGATTTGAATAAGATCAGTTAGAGGGCCATGTACATGGATGTTCTCAATGTGGTAGCTATCACTACCTAAAGCTTTGCCATGCTAGAAGTTCAAGTACTTCAATGAGCCTTTATTTGGATGTTTATGAAGGTTTATATAAATATACTATCAGTACAATGATAATACAAGTATTTATTAGTGTATATAAATATGTTACAACAGGAAATAGATGGCATTGTTACCATGAATGGCTTTGACGTTATCACACGGTCAGTTCAGACAGTACCACCGGGTCCGTATTGACACTCAATTCTGAGCATATTGAACAGTTTGACTCATAATAAATGGTGTTTGGTGGAGTTTATGAAGGTTCATTTATCAAAGACTGTTCCGTGTTTGTTTTTACTGCATGTTCTCCAGGTTTTCCCAGAGACGTTTGTTTAGCTCATAAGCCTTTCCTCTCTCTAAGTGTGAATGTCCTCAAAACAAATTATGTTTAACCTTAGCTCAACTTGAAATCTACTTTCTGCCCCCATTTATTCTCAATAAGACTTGTAATTTTATTTAAGCCCTCTCCACGCCTTGATCCAAACTCTATCGTATGGAACCTAAACACCAGAAGCTCATCTTTTAAATACACCTAAAACAGGTTCTTTCGCAAAATATTCCTACTTATACATGGAACATTACCCCATATTGACGTCTTGTCAAATACTGAACATATTTTTTTACTGTGCAGTCTGAACTCTATATGTGTTAAAAACGTTAAAAACACAGACATTCCACAATTGAATCAAACACACTTAGCATTGGTTAAAAATTGAAAAACGCAAATTATCCCATCACATTTGGATTGTTGTTACAACTTTATATTCACTTTCACACAGACATTCAAATCAGTCCTGATCAATGTAATTGTAATTGTAATTTGAAAATAGACCATTTTCCGTTCACTGCGAGAATCACGCGTTATGCGTGAAATCGAACGTAAAAACAGGTCAAACAAAGGTCATAGCGTCGTAATGGCGTCAAACATCGCGTGGGATTCGACAAACGCGAAAGTATTTTGGGGACATTTCCATGCTTAATAATGTGCTGTCCACATTTGATGATAGGCAATTTCGATTAAGTAAGGGTATTCGGAAGCAATATTCCTCTGTCGAAGATCGGCCGGTCAATGTAAGCTGCGAAATAAAGAAATTCTAGTTCAAAATCAAATCGTTCGATTTTTGCGGCAGACGTTCGACGCGCGTCTTTCATGCATCTCGCGAGATCTCGCAATTGTTCAGAAAATCACCTATTAGCGTATGCAGTATCTTAGTTCCAGAATCAACTATGGAGTGTTTTACGAACTTTGAACTTTGAGTTTGTGTGTCTGTACGTCTGACGTTCACGTTTACATATGCTTCAAAATCTGCTGCGAAATTGTCTGTATTTGTTCCACAGCACATACAGTTGAAACAATGTGAAACTATGTACGGTAAAGAAGTGTATACATGACAACACTGTGGTATCGTCCTGTTTTACTTTTGATTTTGGTATTTAGACTTCTTACTTTGTGACTTGTTAAAATACCAGGTTAAGTCATTAACACTAATATCATAGGAATAATAACTTCTAAGTAAATTCTTTTCAAATTCCTTCAAAAATGCTGATCAATACTTCTAACTAATATTAGATCCATTTGGTCTAAAAGTAACAAAGAAATTACAGTAAAATACTTAAGAATATTGGACCGAATTATCGTTGATATAAATTATGCAATAATGCTCATTTTTCTCATAATGAGCAGAAAGAACTATCATACTTGCTTTCCAAGGATGTACCATATTTGCTCTATTAGAAGTGCATCTCGAATACAAGCACATTTGAAACTACCAGTTGTATTTATTGTATACTGAGCCATCAAAATATGACACACCTCTGTCATTTATGTAAGCATTCGCATCACTAACAACAAATATGGCATATGTTTGATTTGAACTTGAATGAACTATTACACAACGAAAATGTTGCAACAAATTTTGACATTTATTACAGAAAACCTAGAAAAACAAGAAATTTTGTGTAATTTTACAGTCATACTGTGACCTCCATTTCAATGTTTTCTCGTAATGGCTGAATTACACATTTCATCAATGAGTACAAATGTTTATATTTCGTCAGGGTCTGGTCAGTTCAATGCAAAGCTGCTGTTGTATGAATGTGGTGCACTCTCCCCGGGGGGTGCCCTCTTCTCCATCATCTGAAAAGTTCACAGTTTATTGTTGATATGCTACTACTATGATTTGCATACACATGTACTTTTCACTTACTAACCTATTTTATGGTGCATATGTTGAAATTGTATGTTTAGGATCCATCAGTATCATGGTGATACGTATTAAAGGGTGATGGTCATCTTGGTATGTCAAATTTTATATGGTTCCTTGTGAGAGATGTATACAACATTATAGGGAGTACATTGTTTACACACACCCCCCTAACTCAATTCTTTAACTAAAATTTGAAGAATTTTGTTGTATTCGACGGAGGAGAAAGGTCTAGAATTGTGGACAATTTACTGCCATACAGGTGGTATCCATTGTGTTTGGTCAAGTTGTTTTCAATCATCATTTAAAATTTATAATACATTTATAAAATAAAATATTTTATATAAAAAAAACATTCATGCATATAAATAGTATGATAATAAAAATGTTTATTGCTTTAACCTTTTCACCACCAGTTCATTCTTTTCATCACAAATTAACAAAATAGTCCCGTTTATAGTCTGCACTTTCCTTCAGAAGATTAAGACAAAAATAGCCAAATTTTTTGAGTAAAAGCTGAAAACTGATTGAAATTGTTTCTGTTGGCTCCAAAATTAGGACTTATTTCCAGAAATATTGAAGAATATAAAAAAAAACTGCAGACAAATTTGGGCGAGAAAGTCTGGTGGTGAAATGGTTAATGTATCACATTTGATTTAGGATTTGGTGGTTGTGATATTGAACAGTATATATGAACGGTATATACATATATATAACTTTATCCTGGATTAACCCAAAGAGGTTGTAAGGTTATCTGGGCATTGCCATATTAATTAAAACTAACATTATGCTTATGTAGTATAGGAAATGCCTCACTCAATCAGATATGCATTCTGCATATAATGCTGTCAAAAAATTCCAACCTCAAGGCTGTTTTGATTTCCCCTATCAGTTTTTAACCAGATTCATTGATAAAACCTTACTGTCTTCTTGCCAATTAGTTCAAAGAGTCTGACCACAGTAGTGTTTTGTATGCACTCGGCCAATATAAATACCATTATGGTGTTCTTAGGCGTACTGCAGTCTGCTTCTTAACTGGGTTAGCTTGGCGGAGGCTAGATATGGATCTGTCTTCAAATGTCTCTTACCCCCTAGGATTAAAACAGAGGTTAATAGTTATGGTCGTCCTAGTTCAAACAGTTTTAACTTTTACTTTGCAAACACTTAAACACTCAGTCTGTATTTACATCGCTGTTATTTTACAAAGTACTGCCGATTTTGCCGAGTGTTGACAAATTACAAATTTCATGGTCTATGAAGTATAGTCGGGTGTTTGGATTTTTGAGACAAGTTCAGATTATTTTGATATTGCTAGAGGTGCCAGTAACACTTTTAGGGTTAGGAATAATGAACTTTGTACATGTACTCTCCACATACTACTGTAACAGTAATCCACCTTTCCTATAAATCTAGCACTTTATTAGTGACAAAGTGCTCGTAGGCATCCAGTGAGGGAATAAATCTAACTTAAAAGAACCAATTTTATGTCAGTTTTAAAAATTAGAAAATTTCTACATCCGATCTATAGATTTCACCATGAGACATGCACACCCTATATAAAATGGTATTCAAAATTGTTTTTGAATATTTTTTGCCTTTTATTGTAATTTTGATTTGTTATCAAAATCGATGAAGTTAAGTGAGCTCCTGAGTAAGTTTTTGATTTTATGTATTATTGTGATTGAGGATAAGTTTCCAGTACTCAGATTGCCATGACGACCATTAGGAGAAAGTGAGGTCAATTATTTGAGATCTTGAATTATGAACATCCATATGTAAATGTATATATTAGATATAAAGATATCACAAACTAATAATTTTTCTTCCTATTTCAGGTGACAATACATTGGCCAATCAGCTGTTCCGTCTCAACTGGGCTTGGATCTCACTGGAGAAGGATT